GCCCAGTGTGAGACTAGATCCAAACCAGAGTCCTGACCCAGCGGGAGCAGCTCTGGCTCAGGTCGGACTAAGATGAGCTGGGGCGGGGAGTGGAGTTAGGAGCCTCGGCCTGAGAAGAACTTTCCCCAGGAAGAACCAAGTGTACGGAGGACGGACGCTCAGAACAACATATGACGAACCAAATGGGAGTCGCGCTTCTGTCTGGATGTTTTGCACCACCTCAGTACCAGCCAAGTGCGGAGGACAGGAGCAACCTGCCCGGACCAAATAATCAAACTAGCGGTATGAAAACGTCCTAAATGTCAAATGTAGCTGTTAACTAGAACACTACCACATGGTAGAACACAACATTTGGAGATTTGCAGATGTAGACAGGGTCATAATGCAGAGTTACTCAAACATGTGTGAATGAAACAAAAGACAACTCCAGCTCTGTTTTTGAGCAGGTACCAACAATATAACATGGCTTAAAGCTCACACAAGTCCATTTAGAGTCATATATGAGCCATTTGAGGATGGTACTCGACACAATTAATTAGATTCAGTGCAAACTACTGAAACTCCTGGACTTGAATGGGATGAAATGTGTGAGTTCAGTAAAAATGTCTCTGTTGTTCTCTACAAAGATCCAACTACTGAACTTCTCAAAACAAAGAGTCTAATAATGAGGTTCTCGGAGACTACAAATCCATAGTCTTTAAAGACTACACTGCTGACCTCTGACCCCTCAGGTTTGCAATGAGACACTTTCTGTCTTTTAATAAGTCAGATTGAAGATAAATGTGGATTTTATAACTCTGTGGGTTGTGTTCTAATTGATTGTTTTCCCTGTGCTGGAGCTTTTCAGCTTGTTTCAAAACGATGGAACAATCTTTATTAATGACAAAACTTTTACTTCAACAACTTTTGTCAATGTAACACCAGAGGCAGCGCAGGAGCTTTGTTAAATGTGCTTCTGTGCTTTTGTGGGGTTTTCACTGTGAAGACATAAGACATTTAGAGCACCAGGTTTTATTCTTTAGAAAATGCTATATTCACTGAAAACAAGATACTAAGTCACTCCCCCTTCAGAGCACTATCACAACACAATCAGCGAGCATTCCACTAATGAAACTACTGCAAATAACATCAGTTTTGTGAGTCTTGTACAGACTTGTACTGCAAACCATAAGCTCAGGAGAGATCGCTAGATTACTCAAATATGCATGGATGACATTTAAACCTCTTCAGACATATTTTTATTTTTATTTTTTTTTTTTGAGGGAACAACATTAGAACATGGCAGAGAGCTTCAAGTCTAAAAGTCTATTTTGCATAATACTTCATTTTTACTGTAAATTATAAACTAAGTCTTGATTTGCAGTGTCCTGTTAAAGTGCCTCCTCTGCTCTGTTGGGGGAGCAGATAACTGTCGGGTTGAGAAATAATTCTCTCTGATGTTGACTTTAGGTGTTTTTCCACAGATGGAACTTTCTCAGAACATTTCAGTCTGCACTCTGTGTCCTGACTGATAACTCACACAACTTTATATACTCCCTGTACAGTAATACTTGTATCTTACTCCGGGTTACACTCAGGGTGAGTCAGGTTTGGCCTGTATTTAGAGCGAGTTACTTCAAACTGCCTGTCACACCAGCAGTGTAGTACTGCTGTACTGTGTGTGTTTGATCCGTGCAGGTCCATGGGTTCACACAATAACACACACGTGCAGTACACATCTGCACAGCCTCGGACCGCTGAGGTGTGACGGGGAAAGAGAAAATAGAACATTTGTGAATTCTTCCACAGAGCTGCATCTCCCCCAGACCTGTGCATTTGGAACAAAACCAACACTTCATAACCATCAAAGTTCAGACATTTTTATAGTCATGAAAGAGCAGACACACAGACGTACAACCTGAAGTTTGTCATTTACATCTCATTTATTCACACCTAAATATGAAGTCTTTGGAATGGTCAAAAGTAGTGAACATGTCAGACTGTTGTGTATTATTTCATGTTTTGTCCTTCACATTATAAATCAGACACACTTCAGATACATTTACTTGAGTAGTAGTTACCCAAATACTTTTTACTTGGGTAATTACCTGCCCCCCAAAGGGTTGACCAGGTTTTGTATTCACCCTGTGTGTGTGTGTGTGTGTGTGTGTGTGTGTGTGTGTGTGTGTGTGTGTGTGTGTGTGTGTGTGTGTGTGTCAGGGTGTGTCTGTGTGTGTATCTGTATATGTGTCTGTGTGTGTATCTGTATATGTGTGTGTGTGTGTGTGTGTGTGTATCTGTATATGTGTCTGTGTGTGTCTGTGTGTGTGTGTATCTGTATATGTGTGTGTGTGTGTGTGTGTCTGTGCGTGTATCTGTATATGTGTGTGTGTGTATCTGTATATGTGTCTGTGTGTGTATCTGTATATGTGTGTGTGTGTGTCTGTGTGTGTATCTGTATATGTGTGTATGTGTGTGTGTGTGTCTGTGTGTGTGTATCTGTATATGTGTGTGTGTGTGTGTCTGTGCGTGTATCTGTATATGTGTGTATCTGTTTAAGTGTCTGTGTGTGTATCTGTATATGTGTGTGTGTGTGTATCTGTATATGTGTGTATGTGTGTGTGTGTGTCTGTGTGTGTGTGTATCTGTATATGTGTGTGTGTGTGTGTGTGTGTGTGTGTATCTGGATATGTGTGTGTGTGTGTGTGTGTGTATCTGTATATGTGTCTGTGTGTGTATCTGTATATGTGTGTGTGTGTCTGTGTGTGTGTGTGTGTGTATCTGTATATGTGTGTGTGTGTCTGTGCGTGTATCTGTATATGTGTGTGTGTGTGTGTATCTGTATGTGTGTGTGTGTGTGTATCTGTATATGTGTGTGTGTGTGTGTGTGTGTATCTGTGTATATGTGTGTGTGTGTCTGTGTGTGTATCTGTATATGTGTGTGTGTGTGTGTATCTGTATATGTGTGTGTGTGTGTGTCTGTGTGTGTATCTTTATATGTGTGTATGTGTGTGTGTGTGTCTGTGTGTGTGTGTGTATCTGTATATGTGTGTGTGTGTGTGCGTGTCTGTGTGCATGCGTGTGTCTGTGTGTGTGTGTGTGTGTGTGGGAAGGGTGTAGGGGTGTGTGTGTATCTGTACATGTGTGTGTGTGTCTGTGTGTGTGGGGGTGTGTGTGTGTGTGTGTGTGTGTGTGTGCTGTGTGTGTGTGTGTGTGTCTGTGTGTGTGTGTGTGTGTGTGTGTGTGTGTGTGTGCGTGTGTGTGTGTGTGTGTGTGCGTGTGTCTGTGTGTGTATCTGTGTCTGTTTGTCTATTTGTGCGCGTGTGTCTGTGTGTGTGTCTGTGTGTGTGTCCGTGTGTCTGTGTGTGTCTGTGTGCGCGTGTGTCTGTGTGTGTATCTGTATGTGTATATGTGTCGGGGTGTGTGTGTCTGTGTGTGTGTGTATGTGTATGTGTGTGTCTGTCCACCTGCGATAATTCCACCATTTATGCACCTATTTTCACCAAATTTGGTACATAAGTCAACCCCCCGCGGCCGATGCTGCAAAAAAAAAATTGGTGATGATCCAAGGTCATTTGAGGTCACACGGGTCAATTTAAAGGTCATGCCATTATAATGGTCCAGCAATTTCTGAACCATCTACAGCCTAAAATATTCACCCAATCATCACACACGTTGGCACACACATCACCGGGGTCTGGACTGGTCTCCTCATGAGCTGCTGCTGTGGTGATGAACTGACCCCACAGATGCCTCACGGGGCACCAGGCTGATATCTCTGATTGCGCTTGTTTATTTGAAGTAACCTTTCTTTTTTTTTTTTTTTTTTTTTTTTGGCTACTCTACACACAAGCAAAGGCTGATGGGAAAAACACAGCGGCGGCCATCTGGCTTCTGCAAACTCACGTCTGTCTGTGCGCAGAGAGAGAGGACCTGTTCACAAGTGTCCACTCTGAACCAATCCTGCTCTCATTACTGGAGCCCTTTAGCGCCCACTGTGCTCGGAGAGTGTGGAGAGCGTCTGTGGAGGCGTTTGGGCTGGAGTGCGTTAAATGGCCAGTGAGGGAGCACAGAGGGACATTGTGATGCTAATGAAAAGCTACAGGAGCGAACAGGAGTGAACAGGAGCGAGTCGAATCCCGGCCACGGAGACAGACCGAGGCCGGGATTCTTCTGGGATTGGACCTCAGGAGGTTTAGACCGACTCCAGCATGTTCCCTTTTCAAACTAAAGAGGGAAATATCAAAAGTGACATTTACAAGAATCAAAAAATTCTAAACATTCTAAGCAATAAATAGAAGAAGAATAAATAAAGTGCAGGAGGTTTTGGAAACTTGGAACAAATCTGACAGATTCTTAAAATGAATAATCAGCTTCATATTTCCTCTTTCAGTCCGTCCATAACTCTCTTTGGTCTTTTTAGTGGCCAGTGAGTCACAAAAAGCTCTGAGAGATTTGAAACAGAACACAGTACGATCCAGTCCCTGTGTGTGTGTGTGTGTGTCCGTGCGTGTGTGTGTGTGTGTGTCCGGATCAGAGCGTCACATGTGTCAGTATTTGGATTCAGGTGATTACAGAGTCTGAACCCTGAACAAGAGAATGGCACCAGTGACATCACAGTGTGTTGGTGAGGACCATGTCACACTCACAGCTGCACAGCACAGACACGTGCGGACGCTCCTGCAGCCTGCGCTCCGAGCTGCGCGTGGACACTTATCTTCCGCTCCTGCTCTCTCTCTCTCTCTCTCTCTCTCTCTCTCTCTCTCTCTCTCTCTCTCTCTCTCTCTCTCTCTCTCCTCTCTGTCTCTTTTACACACTCGTGGTTGAGCACAGTCCCCGCACAGGCACGCGCCTCACGCGCGCCACTGTGCTACATAAGTGCTCTGCGCGCGCACGGAGCTCTGTTCCCGCTGAGCTGCGGACAGAGGCGCAGCTCGGAGAAAAGGCGCGCGCGCATGAACACTCCAAAGTTTCTTAGGACAGGCGCGAGGTGATGCGCGCGGACCCCAGAGGGTCGCAGAATGACGGAGTGGAATAACAGCTCGTGGAACCGCTCTACGGCGGGTCCGAAGCGCTTCAGCAGCCTGGAGGACATAGACATTCCCGCGGATGGATCTCCCGCGCTGCGAATCCTCATCTCTATCGTGTACAGCGTGGTGTGCGCCGCGGGGCTCGTGGGGAACCTCCTGGTGCTGTTCCTGATGAAAGCGCGGCGCGGGCGCAAGAAGCGCTCCAGTATCAACCTGTTCATCCTGAACCTGGCCGTCACGGACTTCCAGTTCGTGCTGACGCTGCCCTTCTGGGCCGTGGACACGGCTCTGGACTTCAGCTGGCCCTTTGGCGGCGCCATGTGTAAGATCATCCTGTCAGTGACCGTCATGAACATGTACGCGAGCGTCTTCTTCCTCACAGCCATGAGCGTCACGCGGTACTGGTCCGTGGCTTCTGCGCTCAAAGACCGCACGCGGCGGCGCGTGTGCCCGGTGCGGTGGGTGATCGTGGGGCTGTGGGTGTCCGCCACAGTGGCCTCGCTGCCCACGGCTGTGTTCTCCACAGTGCGTAACGTGGCGGGGGAGCGCCTGTGCCTGCTCGGGTTTCCTGATGGGCAGTCGTGGCTCGCGCTTTACCACCTGCAGAAGATCCTCGTGGCGTTTGTGTTCCCCATGCTCATCGTCACGGTGTGCTACCTGATGCTCCTGCGCTTCGTGCGCACGCGGAGCATGAACAACAACCAGGTGAAGCGGCGCTCGCGCGTAACGCGCTCGGTCACTATCGTGGTGCTGTCCTTCTTTATCTGTTGGATGCCAAATCACGCCATCACTCTCTGGGGGGTCCTGGTGAAGTTTAACGTGGCGAACTGGGACCGAACCTACTACATGGTGCACACGTACGTGCACCCGCTCACCGTGTGCCTCGCGCACACCAACAGCTGCCTGAACCCGGTGCTGTACTGCCTCATGCGCCGCGAGTTCCGAAAGAAGCTAAAGGATCTGTTCTGGAGGATGTCGTCACCCCCAGGCACAGGCGCGTGCCCCCTGCGGCCGTTCTCGGGCACAGTGCGCGCGGAGCCAGAGGACACGCAGGTCGTGATCCCCCTGCATCACGTGGACACGGAGAACTGCCGTCTGTCTGTGCTCACGTGCGACACCGAGACGCTCCCAAAGTGACTCTGAAGGACCCGGAGAAAGTGCCGCCTCATGCGCGTGCCACAGGCTGACGCGCCGCGAAGCCTCAAATACTCATCTCTGCCTCAAACGGATTTAACTGGGATCAGGTGTTTGCGTGGCACACTCCGTGCGTAAAAGCGCGTGTATGGACCGTGCGTCCTCGGACTGCACATGGCACAGCGCACGGTGTTTTGTGTTGGGAATGTTTCTTTGGTTTTATACTTTAAAGGTTAAAAAAAGAAGCAGGAGCCGGTTCGGTTCGCGCGGAGCCTTTATTCTCGCGCTGCTGTGACGTCGTCTCGTGGATTGTTCGGTGTTTGTTGTGGCTGGTGTTTCTAATGTAAAGCTTGAGTCGTGAATGTAAAAATACCATGAAAACCTTAAAAGGAAAAATGTGTCAGCGCTGTCCCTCATCTCAGCACCTCTCACCTCCTCTGTCCGCACAGAGACGCGCTGCTTAAGCCACACGCGCTGCTCACTGGTTTATTCCAAACGTTTACATCGATGTGTCCGGGCTCAAACACACACACCGTTTTCTGCAAAGGTAGACAAGGTTTCAGAGCTGCTCATCTGGACAGTGTTTTAGAAATGACTATGACTGTCATCCAGAAGTCTGACCTGTCTTCTGTGTGGACTGATCAGACCAGATGACCACTTTTACCTTTGCAAACCTTTTCTACCTTGGACCAATGAGCGATTATGTCTCATTTTCTGCTAACTAAAAGTTCAATTTTTGCCACCTTCAGTTACGGCTGTACAGCTCACTCAAGCAATCACAGAAAGAGTATTCACTGGCTATAAAAGAAATCTATTTTTCACTTAAGCTAAAGACCAGTTTCATTTCAGAGTGTATTTTGCTATCAACAATGTATTTTGAACTAGGGGCCTTTTTCACATGATTATTTTCAGTCTTGTAATGCACAATTGAAAGACGTCTGTGTTCGTGCTCGTCTTTGAGATGTGACTTCATGAACAGAGGTGGGTCACTGTGGATCACTGTGGTCGTCACAGGGGCCAGTTAAAGCACACTGCAATAACTACACTACAAAAAACAACAGATGGGTAAGTTAAAACCGCTTAAATTAAGAACAACTCGACAAGTAAAATGATCTGAATAAGATTTTGTTTCTTAGTTTCAGTGCAAAGAGTTGTCGTTTCTTTTCTCTTAAGTGTACGAAGATGGAGTTTCATATTTTAAGTACCAAAAGTCTTGTTCCAAATTTACTCAACTCATGATTAAACTTTCTTAATTCAAGCCCAAATGTAAAATGTAAAGAGAATATTACTGTAAAACAATATTAAAAGTAGTGACCATGATTACTCAAGAGTGAAATCTGCTTCAAAAAACTGCAACTTTTTGAAAATTTGAACGTAAAATGAAGGCTGTTTAAATCCGGATCTGTGAGTTCATGTAATTGGAAAGACCAAATGTTAATACTTTTCAAAAAGGAGACACACACACACACACACACACACACACACACACACACACACAGTGGTCAAGTATGATCCCAGTACTTCAAACCTAATATTCCTCAGGCAATCTTCAAAAAGTCAAAGTATCTGAGTATGACCCACCTCTGTTCATACATGACACTCGCACTAATGTTCACTACTGTCCTGAAATGTGATTGACACGACATGTTTGTGATGTTTGGGTTAAAGGGATTGTTCAGTATTTTTGCACACGCAGTAGGAGGATACTGTAGTCTTGGAAGGGCATCTGGCGTAACACACGACATGTCTGTGTAATCCCTCAGTCGTCTGGGTGAAATTCATATCAAAAGACGTTTAATTCTTTCAACTGGACAAAGGTTTTGTGCCCCTAAAAACAACTGATTTTTTTACATTTGGTGTCCCTGTTCACTCTGACTTTTGGGTTTACTATAGTTTAAATACTGCACCCTCCCATTTTCTTTACTTTTACTTTTTTTCGCCTCTACTAAATATAACGTGTGCATTTGAATGTGATGCCATATATAGCTCCTTTTCACACCTGAAAGTAGGAGTGCCCAGAATGTGCGGCTGCTCCTTTATTCGTTTCTTTGTGGTACGGTAAGAAACTACTTACACTAAAAACATTTTGAACAGACGTTTTTCACACCATATTTTAAACAATGAGAATATTTTGGCATTATCCAGTATATAAAATGTATTTGTAACGGGTTTAACTGACGGTACAAACAATCAAATCTGAATTAAAGGGCCAATATGACACTGTTTTCTGATCTGTGTTATAATGCAGTTTTCCCGTCACAATCCGACCTGAGCTGTGTTTTTTTTTGTTTCGTTCACACGTTTAACGCACAAACCCTGCACATTTACTTCTTCTTTCAAACAGAAAACACTCTGTTCCACCTTGTGATGTCATGTGGTGATACAGGAAGTGCTCTACTGTGTTTTCACTCGAATCATTTGGATAATTTCAACTCTGATATCGCCGATCTCCACTGAACTAAACCTCAGCTTCATGACATCACAAGGTGGAACGAAGTGTTTAAAGCGTTGGAGATCTACATACACTAGTAATGCATGAAATAAAACACAACTTTGGTCATGTTTTTGATGATTTAACGACATTATAACATCACTTAAAGTTCACAAGAGTCAATTTTTGTGTAATATTAGACCTTTAATGTTCACTTCTTCAAATTTTGTTGTCGAACCAAATGGTTTCACGTTACAACATGATGGATACGCCTGTTATTAATGCTGCAATATGTCACTTGTCTGGTGAGGGTCCACTGCCTCGTCGCCATGGAGATGTCTTTACTGTGCTTTTACAGCATTAAACATATCGTTTAAGTTTATATTGCTAAAATACTTTGAAAAACATGCATTCTTAGTGTGAGCAGGGTCACCTCTTCACACCTCTTCACAGATCTGACCCGTAACTTGGCCTCACGGCGTCACCCGCTTGTCTCCGTGGAAACAGACAAGTGTAATGACATAATGCGGCTTTTGTCAAATAAAAAAATGGACACCTACATCTCTATGAAAACAAGCAGATACAGTGGATCCTCTTGCAGAAAAGTTACATAGTGTGCCTTTAAGATGATTTCAGGCAAATTACCAAGGTTCAGAACTGTTGTTGTATTGATTTGACATTAGTGAGATCATGACATGTGTGATTATCAAAGTGATATGGTTCAGTATTTTGGGGTTTGCCTTTTTCAGACCCGTGACTCTCAGAGCTTTAAATTAGCCACAAAAATGCAGAAGGTGAAGGAATTACAGAGACACAGCACAATTTCACAACTTTTTCTTCTTCTTTTTTAATATATGTATGTATTTATTTATTTAACTGGTGCCAAAAAGTATATAGTGTGAGTTATGTAAATGAAGGGTCAGTGTTTTTGTCTCTCGTGCGTGTGCAGGACTGTGCAAAAGACTGAAGGGTGAATCTGACGCACGTTTGAAGAGTTTTAAGTTGTTTATGATTTCAATTCAAACAAATTTTTATTAATATAAGATTTTGCAATGTAGACCATATAGGGAAAAAAAGCTTTTAAAGGTGAGACAAAGATTTAGCACTTTTTATCATTGTGAAAAAAACAAAAAACACAAAAACAAAAAAAAGAAAAGAAAAAAAAAAAAGATGCAAGTCTCTTAATTAGGTTTTTGTTTTTTTGTTGTTGTTTTTTTAATTAAAAATTCAACCTTGACACAACAAAGTGTCCATTTTACAACTATCCATGAAGTATCTCATGTAATTCAGAACATGTTTGCATTTGGGTTGCGTTCACACTTCCTTAAACCTGGAACTAAACCTGGGCTGAAATAAAATTAAACCTGGACTAGAACAGGACTAAACCTGGACTAAACCAGAACTGAACCTGGACTAGAACAGAACTAAACCTGGACCAAACCAGAACTAAACCTGGACTAGAACAGAACTAAACCTGGACTAGAACAGAACTAAACCTGGACTAAACCAGAACTAAACCTGGACTAGAACAGAACTAAACCTGGACTAGAACAGAACTAAACCTGGACTAAACCAGAACTAAACCTGGACTAGAACAGAACTAAACCTGGACTAGAACATAACTAAACCTGGACTAAACCAGAACTAAACCTGGACTAGAACAGAACTAAACCTGGACTAGAACAGAACTAAACCTGGACTAAACCAGAAGTAAACCTGGACTAAAATAAAACTAAAGCTGGACTAAACTAGAACTAAACCTGGACTAAAATAAAACTAAAGCTGGACTAAAGCAAAACTAAAGATGGACTAAACTAGAACTAAACCTGGACTAAACCAGAACTAAACCTGGACTAGAACAGAACTAAACCTGGACTAGAACAGAACTAAACCTGGACTAAAGTAGAACTAAACCTGGACTAAATCAGAACTAAACCTGGACTAGTACAAAACCAAACCAAATCTACAAGGAAGGAAGAAGTAGTGTGAACGCAGCCTTAGTCATGTACAGAAGATGTTCTAGAATTTTCAGATTGGATCATTTGTTTCAGATTTGATCGTTTGTTTCAGATTTGATCGTTTGTTTCAGATTTGATCGTTTGTTTCAGATTTGATCGTTCGTTTCAGATTTGATCGTTCGTTTCAGATTTGATCGTTTGTTTCACATTTTGATCGTTCCTTTCAGTCTCGGTGAGTGCTTGAGCTCCCCTGGACACCGCGGTCCTTCTCCCCGCCGTCTTTTGCACACCGCTGCACCTCTCACTGTCCCATGATGCTCTGCGGCTCATGTGACTGGTTACATTGTTTTTACAGGTGTGTTTTTCTTCTGTTCTTTCTTATGGTTTGCTCCTGACTGACTATCAGCTGCACAGACTCTTGTTCTGAACCAAATGTCTGTGTGGACAAATAAAGATTTACAAAGGGCTGGATCTGGCCACGGCCTCCGCTTTCCATGTGTCATCTATAGATCTAACAGGCTTTAATAAGAGCAGCTGGTTAGACGTGTGAACAAACACTTCATTCATTATGTCCAAATGGTTTAGGAAGAATAATTCAGCATTAGGAATGACTT